ATGAAAATTTTATGTTAAAGATTTATTAAAACCTAAAGTAAGAATTATAAGGAGTTTAAATTACATTTTTAATTTAAGGTCAAAACCGCTGAACTGGAACATTTGTCCATGGCAACTATGCTCAAATTTTGCCTACTTTGGACTTAAACTTCAAATTCACTAGTTAATAACCCTGTAAGATAATGTTCCAGTAGATATTCACTCCTGGCTATTAGAAAATCACCCCTGATGAGTATGCTATGGGCGCTCCAGGCTTGCAGTGGCAAATAACTTTCAAGGTCTGTCTAGTATTGTAGATCATAAAATTTTAAGCACTGATTGAGCTTAAAAGTGCATTTTAAATTTTAGAATAAAATAGTTGAACTGAAAACATAGCTGACACTGAAACATTTTCAGCTATATTGGCCTAAAATCATAGGTATTAGAAGAAATAGCGATCTCTGCATGATCGCTAATGGAGTCTGTCGGTCAGCCTGGTGAGCTTGATTCCAAGTTGATGTGTCCCTCTAGTAGACTTACCTGTCCACTTTCTGGCAAGTTGACCATGGCTCCCTGAAGGCAGACCCACCTGTCCCAAATCCATATTTCACAATGGTGGGAGGAAGGACTAAGCAATCTGGAAGGAATAGTCATGTTTTAAAGAAAAAGAAAACATGTTTCACTGTGCAAAACCAATATTGTAAGGGCACCCCCTGTACCCAAAGGTATGGTGCAATGTTGGACAGAAATTGGAGAGGAAAGGATGATGAAAAAATCCTTTGACATTTGAGTCAGGAGAGCAGACTAGCTATGATGCAAACTTATTATTAGTGACTATTTACAATGTTATTTTATCCTAAATTTTGTCACTTTATCACCAGGATTTCATAATGCTCTTTCTACTGAATAAACCCTTAAATTTTAAACTACTTAAGAATGAAATGTGGCAAACAAATATTGGATCACATTCATAATCCATTTTTGCAGTACCTCTGACCCTGAAAGTGGATACACTAAAGCCCCTTAAACAGTTACTGTATTAAGCCTGCAGGAAGTTTGAACATATGGCTTAGCATGTGCCTGATTACCCAGGTTTGATGGCCCTGCCTTGTGTCACCACAGCACATAGTGTCACTTCCAATTGCTGTGCATTAGCGTAGGCAAAAGAACATGACAGATGTGCTGTAACCTAATGGAAGTGCGACACCTTACAAAATACCCTGTCATACAGCAATAAAGCACTGGATTGTAGCCAGCCTTTTCACATCCTGCGTTTCCTTATTTATTTCTTTTTAATGTAATCATTTTTTTTATCTGCCCCAATAAAAGAAAAAACAAAACAGAAGACCTGAATAGAATACTACAACTTGTAAGTAAATGGGATAATGTTTAAACCAGAATCGAATAATGCACCTATGTTTTAGTGTTGTTGCACTGTCAGCAGTGTGCTCTGTTACTCATACAGAGAAATGAAACGGCATGCTTATAATTAGTTAGTTGAGGTCTACAACAGCCAAAATAGATCCCCAGAACTTGAAGAGCTATAACTCATGTGATGCTTTGCAAACTGTAAGACTGGCAAAGCATCATGAGACTTGATGTTTTTCAACAGCTGGTGATCTACGTTTTTAGCAATCGTTGGCCTACAAATTTGATAACCACAACTTTACATCATGGGAAACTGGACAGGCCAATATTATAGGTTATTATCCTGGCAAAAGCAAGTAACAGGACCTTTCCCACATTTGCTGGCAACCAGTTGTCCTGCCAGCAACAGGCTGCCTACTGTTGTGAACATGCAATGGGGTTGTGGCTACCTGAGGAAGCAGTCTATCCAAGCTTCTGTCCCATTAACAACAGTGGAACCACCTTACGGTGAGAGAAAGCCTTTGCTGTGCCTTCATTCCTGAATTATAAGTTAATTTTATTATACACTTGTGACATTTACCCTCCTCACAGCCATAACAACCACCCTACCACCTTGTCATGTTATATATGACCCATCATGCAGCATATAACACCTACTCCCCTCTTATATAATACCCAACATTTAAACCCACCATAAATACTTACCAGCTTGACATATATCACCAACGACCGCCTGGTGGCCGAAGATAATGTATGTATCCATCAGGACGCACATCCGCAAATTATCGTTCACTTGTTTTTTGCTTTGGGTGGGGGATGCTTTAAATATTCTTGTAGGCATTGGGTGTGGGCAGCTTCAAATATTCATTGGGAGAAGCTGGTTCCCACCCTGGCCCCCGCCAATAAGCAATAGATGGGGTTCCTAATACTAAAAATAAAGGCGGGTGAATCCCGCCCAGCCTCCATGGGCGGAGGTTTGAGGAGCTTATTAATTATAAAATGGGGCAGTGGACATACCATTGTCAAACCCCACAGAAATAATATCATGTCCACCTGTGGTGACTAATGGGTACCTAATCCCTAGTCACCTCTCTAAAATAAGTCCCTATCACCTGTCACCCTAACAATATGAGGAGAGGGGCTAATAAATCTGGTTTAAACATTTAGTAGATATGCATGTGGAGGTAAAATACTTCCATTATCGAAATATGGATGTCTTTTTAAACCCCCATAACATTTGTATTTATTTATTTTTAACTAAACACACAATTTTTAACTACCACAGAATCAACCCTTGCACCGCCACATAAAAAAATGGTATTAATTCTTACGATCAAAATATCATTTTGTATTAATTATAAATCAATGGTAAAACCAGACATTGAATATGCTGTGCAATTTTAGGCACCTGTTCTAAAGAAGGATATGGCACTAGAAAAATTTCAGAGACGAACTACAAAAATGAACATTAAATGCTAAAATAAATATTTGTGGGGGAGAATCTAGTATCCTTGCCACGGCCCCCATCCATATTATGTTTCACCTTAGCTTGCTGCTTAATGAGCAGACCTCTTGCATTTTCTGAAGTTGTCATGACAACACAATGTTAAAATTTTTTGTAAAAATGTTAAATTAAATTTTTATTTTATGTCGTGACAAGCCCCTTTTAAGGGAAATGATTAGGGCTCTAAACAGTTTATTTTATTTTCACTTAATTGTGAATTTTGCAGAGTTTACAAAATGCATATTTTGGCAAACAGCAAAACTGAAGATTTTTTTTCCAATTCAGTTATTTTGACCTAAAATAAGCAATGCCTTTCTCAATTCTATCTCATTCCCAGCTTAATGAAGATCTATGCAAACTATGTTTGTAATACATTCCGTATGTACAGTTTAACACACATAATTAACAAAATTTTGCTTTCATTACATTTATATATGTCCCCACTATATTAAAAGATGTTTAAAAAATTAGTTATTTCTGTTTCTCATTAGTGGCATGCAATACAATTCCCATTCCAAGTATTAAAATGTAGACACACTATTATCATAATTTGTGATTATGCAGAAGTCTGTCTCATAGAATCTCATAAATCCACATATTTTACTAGAGTGATAAAAAAAGGCAGAATAAGAAATTCACTTCAATATCTTCCAAATGTTCTGGATCCAGTATCAATTCTGTTCCTTTTTATGGTCCCAGATGTGGAAGAAGTGGCGGAAACTTGCAAAGCGAGCTCATCATTAAACATCCATTCAGCTGTATAAATATATTTTTTCTGGCTATTTATGCCCATACAAGAGGGATTTATCAGCTCTCTACATTTGGCTAGTTCTGGTTGGCTACCTATACAGGAGAAGCATAAGGTACGGGATGACACACACATCACACAATGACACACATATCACACCAATTCCCAGTTTAATACCTCCCTGTCTTGGGTTTAAAATACCCTACAAAATACCCTTTCTTACTTTCTCAACATAATTTGTGGGTCCACTCTTACCTTTCAGTTCTACTGCTCTCCCAACCGTTCACTTTGTGTGTGTGTGTGTGTGTGTGTTTGTGTGTGTGTGTATATATATATATATATATATATATGTATTTTTTTTCTCAAGTTTTTTTTATTCAATCAGATGAAGGTTCCCATGGTGGGACTGAAACATCGGCTCTATATATATATATATATATATATATATACACTGCTCAAAAAATAAAGGGAACACAAAAATAACACATCCTAGAGCTGAATGAATTAAATATTCTTCTGAAATACTTTGTTCTTTACAGTTGAATGTGCTGACAACAAAATCACACAAAAATTAAAAAATGGAAATCAAATTTTTCAACACATGGAGGTCTGGATTTGGAATCACACTCAAAATTAAAGTGGAAAAACACACTACAGGCTGATCCAACTTTGATGTAATGTCCTTAAAACAAGTCAAAATGAGGCTCAGTAGTGTGTGTGGCCTCCACGTGTCTGTATGACCTCCCTACAACACCTGTGCATGTATTTACTGCACAACACTTTTAAGTTATTTTTATTTTTATTTTACTTTAGTACTGTACCTCAAGGGAAATAAGTTGTGCATTAAACATAGTTCACATTAATGTAAGCTTTGCTTTTAATTGACTTGGTTTTCTATAAAACCTGAATTCATAGAGTTGTTTTTGCAGGTAAAGATCTAGGAAATGTGTTTGATAATAAGTGATAATGTTAATAATCCTTCCCCAATAATAAACAGCCTACCTGAGGGAGTACCAGACTTAATTAAAGGATCAAAACACTCTGACAGCTGGTGCTCTGCGTGTGCCTAGATGGTAGCGTTTTCAGTTCAGACACTGATTTGTCTAAAAAAAAAAGCACATTAGCCGGCTCTGACCAAACTTAGCTTTCAACAGGATTTGAGGGCAAAGTGATCAGTGAAGGTAGGACTTTAGAACAAAGTATATAATAATAAATTAGACAAACACGTCTGACCCGTGATCTCTCGTAACGCAATTACTTAGTTGGAAATAAAATATTTTAACTTGTCTACACATTTACTAGTGTACAAAATGATCTTCTTTACAGATATTTTTTTTTTAGAAATAATAGCATTTTTATTTAAGAAGCATAACATTTAAAACAATATTTAACAAATGGTACATATGATTTGCATTTTACAAGTTTTTTGGTTAAAGCCAAAAAAGTTTGCAATAAAAGGTATATTACAGCTATCAAACCGCTTTAGCATGGTTTGGCACTTATCTGGGTCTTGCTGGATGCCTGTACTATAGTGAAGCCAGATGTCAGTTTATTGAAGTTATTCAGCTGGTACACTCAGCCAGTGAATGCACATTAGACTTGTGCATTCAATTTTGGCCAAATTGCAATTTGTCCGAATTTTGGCTGCATTCTGTATCTCTTAAGCGCCTTATGGACATATAGCCAAGCAAACAATGGACAGTCATGTTTGTTTGCTTTGTGTTTTTGGAGTTTAGCTAGTAACCAATAAGGGGGAAAAAATGGGGAGCAGGTAAAAAAATTATAAACACAACACTTTTGTTTTTGCCCCCATTTTTCATGAGCTGAACTCAAAGATCTAAAACTTTTTCTACGTACACAAAAGGCCTATTTCTCTCAAATATTGTTCACAAATCTGTCTAAATCTGTTAGTGAGCACTTCTCTTTTGCAGAGATAACCCATCCATCAAGGCATATCAAGATGCTGATTAGACAGCATGATTATTGCACAGGTGTGCCTTAGACTGTCCACAATAAAAGGCCACTCTAAAATGTGCAGTGTTACTATTTTGGGGAATCCAGGGGGGGGGTTCTGAAAACAAGTCAGTATCTGGTGTGACCACCATTTGCCTTAAGCAGTGCAACACATCTCCTTCGCATAGCATTGATCCGGTTGTTGATTGTGGCCTGTGGAATGTTGGTCCACTCCTCTTCAATGGCTGTGCGAAGTTGCTGGATATTGGCAGGACCTGGAACACGCTGTCATATACGCCGATCCAGAGCAATGGGTGACATGTCAGGTGAGTATGCTGGCCATGCAAGAACTGGAATGTTTTGAGCTTCCAGAAATTGTGTACAGATCCTTGCAACATGGGGCCGTGCATTATCATGGTGATGGTTGTGGATGAATGGCACAAGAATGGGGCCTCAAGATCTCGTCATGGTATCGCTGTGCATTCAAAATGCCATCAATAAAATGCATGTGTTCATTGTCCATAACATACGCATGCCTATATCATAACCCACCGCCACCATGGGCCACTCGATCCACAATGTTGACATCAGCAAACCGCTCACCCACACAATGCCATACACGCTGTCTGCCATCTGCCCTGTACAATGAAAACCGAGATTCATTTACGAGAGAACACCTCTCCAAAGTGCCAAACGTCATCGAATGTGAGCATTTGCCCACTCAAGTTGGTTAAAACGACGAACTGCAGTCAGGTCGAGACCCCGATGAGGAAGACAAGCATGCAGATGAGCTTCCCTGAGACGGTTTCTGACAGTTTATGCAGACATTCTTCAGTTATGCAAACCGATTGTTGCAGTAGCTGTCCGGGTGGCTGGTCTCAGACAATCTTAAGGGGTTAAAGGTGAAGATGCTGGATGTGGAGGTCCTGGGCTGGTGTGGTTACTCATGGTCTGTGATTGTGAGGCCGGTTGGATGTACTGCCAACTTCTTTGAAACGCCTTTGGAGATGGCTTATGGTAGAAAAATTAACATTCAATTCACAGGCAACATCTCTGGTGGACAATCCTGCAGTCAGCATGCCAATTGCACGCTCCCTCAAAACTTGCGACATCTGTGGCATTGTGCTGTGTGATAAAACTGCACATTTTAGAGTGGCCTTTTATTGTAGCCAGCTTAAGGCACACCTGTGCAATAATCATGCTGTCTAATCAGCATCTTGATATGCCACACCTGTGAGGTGGATGAATTATCTTGGCAAAGGAGAAGTGATCACTAACACAGATTTAGACAGATTTGTGAACAATATTTGAGAGAAATAAGCCTTTTGTGTACATAGAAAAAGTCTGAGATCTTTGCGTTCAGCTCATGAAAAATGGGGGCAAAAACAAAAGTGTTGTGTTTATAATTTATTCAGTGTATATACATTATATCTAAATATAAATGTATTTATTTTATTGCTTCTCCTCTTTTGTCCCTCTATAGGTTACTTTTTCTCACTTGATTTGTAAACGAAATGGCAGATAAATACAAAATATTTATGTTATGTATATATTTTGCAGTACACTGATTGGTCCTTTTGTGCACCCTCTTTGGTAAGGTGCATAAATAGACCAATTAAACATTGACAATACTCAGATAAACCAAATCATCTAACGAATGAGATTCAGAGTTCCTGCACTAAAATTCATTTTTGGAAAAAATTGCAGATAATATGTGGATGATGCTAAGGCGAGTATGGAAACATATTTACTTTACATTTCCCTGTAATAAAACCGTCTCATTCTTTCTGCCAGGGAAGTTTCCAGGTAGTAGAAACACCTGGGTGATGCCTGAAATAATAAAAAGGTGCAGATGTCATAACTCTGTGTTATGTCCTCTACCCATGAACAGCATGCTGATCCTCACCAGGAACTCAATAAAAGCATAGCTATTGCAAAGCCAGGTCTTCGCTGCAATCCCAACACACTATCTAATAGAGTGGTGTGCAGATAAGTTTTGTTCCCAACACTTCCTTCCAATAGTCACCTTGGAGAAACTTCCTCCACATTAGTAGCTTAAAGAGACACACAGGACCCTAATGCACTTTAAGTAGCTGAATTGTGAGTCTTCTTTATTCATTTTACAAAAAAGTGCAGATTTATAATCTAACCTTGTTGCATTCCTCTGGCTGTTAAGCAGACAACTAGTCGTGTTACTTCCTGGTTTTGTTAGCTCAGTGGAGATAAACTCAAGAGGCAGCAGTTGGTCAGAGCACCTAACTCTCATTGAGCTGCATTGGGAAAACTGTGATTGGACAGCCACAAGAAGCCTGGGTGGGGTTATAAGAGGAGGGCTTGCAAAGGCAGCAAACAAAAACACCGCAGGGATTGCAAAGTGTTTTTTTAGATATACCTCCAGTGAAAAAGTGCATAAATAAATGCATGCACGTTTTCATTTGGGATATATTTACTAATTATTTGTATTTATTTATTTTATTTGGGCACTGGCAAAAAACAATATCTTCCTGCCAATTCCACTACGTGTTGAGATCTGGGACTAAATAGCTCCACATCCAGGTCTTCAGTCCTCAAAGCACCCTCTGCCCCAACATGTTTATGGATTTTGCCTTCTACCCTGATGCTATTTCTCTTTGTGTCTGCATTCTTCTGATGATATCTCTCATTGTATTCAATGACTCACTTAGTGCTGTCTCTTATTGTATTTACCATCTCTCTTAATGCTATCTCTCATTGTTTCTGCCAATCCTGATGGTGTTTTTTTCTACTTTTCTCTATCATGTTCTTGTGTTCTTGCCTCTCTTTTTGCTCTCTCTTGCTTTCTCTTCCACTCTGTTTTGATTTTGTCTTTCTTTGTTCATTCTCTGCTATTTTTCTTCTCTCTTTTTTTTCACTCGCTACCTGTCTTAGGGCAGTCACTTTTCCCTCTTTTCTATGTTACTTTTGTATTTTCTCCTAAAGGTACATTCTAGTCACTGTGACAGCTTTATCTAATTGAAGTGGCTACAGTGTCTGAAGTCCTCTGGTGCCATCCTTCCATTCAGTGTTAATCAGTTTTTTTTATGTTTTAATGTTCTACGAGAGTTCCCAGCATTTAATCCAGTCTGTGCTGCTTGGGCTAATGTGGAAGCATTAGCCTGAACCACAATGGGTGGCTGCAGTTGACTGAGCTTTTCAGCTAACTGCTTTCAGCCTATCAAAGTACCCATACATGTGGGAATCCGCATGGCTGGGAAGGAAGTGTGTAATCTCTGCCTTTGCCACACCTCCAGTGGGGGAGGTGCTATGGGCAGCCAGGGATTGTCAATAAGTGTTAAAATGCTTGAAAATGGTTTTAAACTGAATAGTGGAACAGCGCCGGGGGACTCCAGTCACTATAATCAATTCAATAAGATGAAATGTTTATAGTGCCTACAGTGTCCCTTTAGTCCTCATTGGAGGAATGCTATGAGAGCAAAACAGCAGAAATTTTAGGTTCATAGTGCTAAATGATGAAGACAATGGCTAGTAAACGGCAGTAATGCTTTCATGGTAATTAAAAGTTTTTCTTTTTTTCCTAGAGTAGCACCTGTTTTGCCTTGATAAATCTCCACCATTATGTCTATTTGGCAGCCTTGTCCTGTTTATTCTTTTCCTGCTGTTCCTCATGCTGCATATCCTAATGACCCTTTCCGCATGCAGCTGTCCTGGAGCCAGGACACATGTAACTGAAAATAACAGTTTCAATGGAGCTTGCTATAGTTTGATTCTATTGTATCATTGGACACCACTCCACACAATGCTTGTACTATAACCTCTGCTCAGACACCTAACTCTGCAAACACCAAAGCAGCGGGTAAGAGAAAAAAAGCTGCTGACACGATGATAGCAATTTGGGTGGACACTAACCTCACATCATGCTCTGCAGTGTTGTGCTGCTTTTGCTGCTATTCCATGTGGCTTTAGGCCCCTGGCTCTCCACACTTTGGAAAAATACAGATTAGCCCAGAGTTCAAATTCAAACCTGGTGAGTGTAATATGGATCCTATAGGCTTGCAGTTGTAAGTAACTTTTAGGCATTTACACATTGACATTTTGAGCCCTAGATTAACACACAAATTATTGGGCTAACACAGCTCTTCCAGTGTCAGGTAAATCAGGGAGATGTGAACATGCATTTACTAGGCTTGTGGCCAAGGGATTTTGTCTAGTGCTCAGTCCTGTCACTCTTTGCATGTCAACTTTTTCATATAATGTTCATTCAGCCTCAAGGATAGGAAACTTCTAACGTGACATGTTAGCCATCACTGTCCTTAGGTACAGCATCTGTAATCAGTACAAAATCTCAACTGCTCCCCTAACACACACTAAAGAACCTTTTTCCCTTAATACATACAACACCCATTATCTAACCCTCAACAGCCAACAACATACACTACAGCCTTCATTTTCCTAAACACACTAACTACATTTAAAATTGCCCTTCATCACATACATTATAGCACCAGTCCCCCTACACAAACACTACAGACCCAGTTTCCCCCATAAACACACCACAGCCCCAATCCCCACACACTACATACCCTGTCCTCCCCAAACACATAGGTCCTATTAATGCATGTCTTATTCACAAGCACACACATATTACAACATAAACAGCCCCACACACACATACACAACCTCACAAAAGCATCCCTTCCACACACACAGCCTTATGAGAAGCCTCCCCCAACTTACACAACTCTACAAGCTGCCTCCAAAAAAACAGCAACTTTAAAAGCAGCCAACGCTCACACATTCATCACCACAATCAGCCTCCATACACAGGCACATGTACACCTCCTTCCCTCCAATGATGAGTAAGGGTGCCTTCATAAAACTAGCCTTGGAGCAAAAATAAGTGTAAATCCAGCTCTGTATACTATCAAAAATATCTGTAATATACCTTATACCATATACATTTCTTTAAAAAAATGGCAAAATAAACAAACAGTTAAAAAAAATTAATAAGAATTGCTAAGAATTAACAACAATAATGACAATCTTTACAAAAAAACACTGTTCCCTCAATGTTTATTTGCTGTGGATCCCATATTTTATAAAGACTTTTCATATGTTGTTATTAATGAAAAGAACTTGATAGTGAAGGTGTGAATCTAAATAAAATATTGTGAGTAAACTAAAATAAATCTTTAAGAATTACCAACAGTATGTAAAATAAAAAAACAATAACAGATTCATCTCCAAATCACTTGCTGTTCTCTGTCAATTGGACTATAACCCCTCTGGAGATCAGTACAGTGAAAGCAGTGTGATTTCTGTTTGGGTGCATTAAATTGAATAATATAAATTATTAATGAGTACCGGTACCATGTGTAATTTGAGGAGAAAAGTAAATCTGCTATGTTTTAGTATTTAATTAAAAGCATCTGAATGCATGAATTTAACCAATCTATTTTTTTTACAGTTTTTTTAATTCTAACTATATCTGATTTTAGAGGTCTTTTAAAGTAATTTGCAATTAACCTCGAATCTCTTCCAAAACCAGATGAACTTGGAGATTATACAAAATGCGGCCTTGCCATCAGATACAGATTTAACCTATATATATTTATTGGTCTTTCCTCTGGCTCAGTCATGAAAGACATACAACATGATGATCTTTAGAATCTCAGCTGCTGTAGCTAAAATAATTGTATGCTCTATGTAAATATAGAAAGGAAAGGATTGTGTCCACAAAACTACAAAGTCCTCAAAACCAACTTACTTTCAATGTTTTTTTTATTACAAAACAATGTTTGTCTCAAAATCCTTATCATGGTCGGGCTTGCAATGGGGATGGGGCATTTACACTTAACGTGTATAAATTGGATATGGGGTGCATTCTTACAGTACAATTCTCTCTACTGATTAAATCCATTGGAAGTACATGCAAGTGGTGTAGTGGGGACATTGGTGTAAACAAATTACCCTTATTTTTGCACACATAACTCACAAACCTCTCTGTGGCTGCTTCTACTCAGAGTGCATATTTGATATATGTGTTTGACAAATGGAGGCTTCTAAAATTGTGACATGTGACATTTTAAGTGATCAATTCTGTACCATATGAATTTCCTCCTCTCCTTCTATGGTACACTAATGGTGTATGGATTACCTTGAATTAGCCTGGGACTGAGCACCTAGTAGTTAAAACTATCTTTACCATCAATGATTGGTCCATTGAGGCTAAGCAAGGACGAATGGATAGAAGCAACTACCTAGTATTAAGTATTATATATTATACCAGAAATTGTAATTGTAACATAAGTGTGATAATGGTAAGATTTTTTTTTACATATAGAGGGTTTAAATTGTGAGGAGTATTTTATCTGTGTTGGAGTTGCCTTTTTGAATAACGCCATATATATATATATTTGAAATAATTGGATGAATGTCCTACTCAGCAGTATGTATACATTTCACAGTCTGTATGAATTATGGAATTGTGCATTATGTCACCCTGCATGCACAGCTGGAAGTACACCAGTAACAAGGGCATATGTGTTCAAGTGGCTGACGGCTCCTTACTTCCTGAATCTGAAAATTCAGAACCCGGAAGCCACCAGGGAAGTAGTGGACATTGCTGATTGAGGCAACTTAGGGGTTAAACCATTCGAGAATGGTTTAACCCCTTTAGGCAAGAGTGCCTCCAGATGCCTCCTGATATGTTAAAATTAAGTTGTTTTGGTGCTTGGAGTGTCCCTTATTCCTAAATTTAACTCTACTAAAACTGGTGACATTTGACCTGATGGCAAGTACAAAGAAACATATATTTTGTTTTTTGATACACACAAAACCCACAAATGTCAGTGTGGATGGTCATACTCCATATGAGAAAGCAACATATAGGTTTGACAGATGGAAGAAGCTGTAGTCAGAATTAACCTTAATTCTTAAATATTTTCTCTATCATCTATCTATCTATCTATCTATCTATCTATCTATCTATCTATCTATCACTCTATCTATCACTCTATCTATCTATCTATCACTCTATCTATCTATCTATCTATCTATCTATCACTCTATCTATCACTCTATCTATCTATCTATCTATCTATCACTCTATCTATCACTCTATCTATCTATCACTCTATCTATCACTCTATCTATCTATCTATCTGTCTGTCATAAAATGGTGACTTGAAATTGGTTAGTTAAATACACTAAGCTCCTTGATAGAGCATAGAGTATTCAGTAGATATGTTTTATCTTAGTGTTAGTGATCTTCTAGAACTAAACTGCAATGTACTTTATTATCCCATGCTACAAAAGAGGTAACAATAAAATAGGTAATATGTCCTATATAAAGAGCATCTCCACAATAAAATGCTGAATATGGCACAGTCTCCATGAAAATGAATAAGATGTCCCTGCGGAATCCTCCTATTTTATGTATTTGTGCAAGAATAGTTAGCATACTCAGTAAATAAAATAAAAAAAAAAAAAATTAAAAAAAAAGAACATAACATAGCATATTCACTACCTTTGACATGCCTTAAGGGTAAAATAAGGCAGATTCAGTATAATTATATTTAAAATGAATTTTTCATTTGTTCTGGAAATAAAACATTATGTAAACCATTATAGCAGTATAACTGCAAAAGAATTGATGATACTGAAATGCTTCAATCTAAAATAATCTTTGTGGGATTTAAGAAAATGTGGAGGGTTTGTGTATTACATTTGTATGAGTTTTCACTTTATTTCATAAGAAGCCAATAAATATTTCAGTTAATTTGACCCCATTTTAATATATTTTCTATTGTATTTTTTTGTAAATGAGGCATTTCTCCAATTCTGTGTTATGATACATACGGTGTAATATTTCTCAATATGTGGTTTCCCATTGCATGTTATGCATGATTTATTGCGGTTATTACGTAGTTAATGAGTTTCTTTATGCTCTTTGGGATTTTGTTTTATCAGTTCTGTAAGGTTTTTCTAGGATATTGATGCTTGGTTAACTACTTCACCACTAATAATAAATATAAGCATAACACTCATTCCATACATAAAAATTTAAATGTAAAATGTTAAGGCATTTTTTTTTATAGTTTGCGGTTCAGGAATGACTAGAAAATGTAAATTATGTACATTATTTATTTGTTCAATCTTTAAGGCAATGCTAGTCTGCAGGTATGGGCTGGTAACTTTTGGCCTGGGGGCAACTGCAAAGGAATTATGGGGTTTTTTTTGGTGACCACAAAACTCACAAATGTCTGTGTGGATGGTCAAGCTCATAATGAGAATGCAATATACGGGTTTGACAGATGAAGGATGATGTAGTCAGAATGTAAACTTAAATGGACACTATAGTTACCAGAACAACTACAGATTATTGAATTTGTTCTGGTGAGCAGAATCATTACTGTCAGGCTTTTTGCTGTAAACACTGTATTTTCAGAGAAAATGCAGTGTTTACATTACAGCCCAGTGAGAACTGCACTGGCCACTCCTCAGATGGCTGTTAGAGATCCTTCCTGGGTCATGGCTGCCTAAAATGCATCCAAACATTTAGTATCTCCTCCCTCTGCATGTAGACACTGAACTTTCCTCATAGAGATTCATTGATTCAGTTCATCTCTATGAGGAGATGCTGATTGGCCAGGGCTGTGTTTGAATTGTGCTGGCTCTGCCCCTGATCTGCCTCTTTGTCAGTCTCAGCCAATCCTATGGGGAAGCATTGTGATTGGATCAGGCTACCACTTCTGCTGATGTCAGCAGGCAGGGGGCAGGTCTAAAGGAAACAGGGACAAAGCAAGCAGCTCCAGACTTGAATACAAGTAAGATTTTACTATATTTAGGGAGGCATGAGGGGACCAGGGGGGCTAGATAGTGGTTTTAACCCTATAGGGTCAGGAATACATGTTTGTGTTCCTGACCCTCTAGTGCTCCTTTAAGGCAACTATAGGCACTCACCTGGGGCACAGTGGATAGACAGGGGTCCAGAACCATAAACTTGCTTGGTCTCATTCTCCATTACCAATCCCTATGTGAAGAATGACGGGGAGGCCCCAAACTGCTAACTTCCCTAGGAATTTTAATCCTTCTCTGAATGTAGTTCCAAGATGTAACATCATATATTTATGTATGACACAGCAAACACACAGATGTATGCATGCCTAAGAGACACATACTCTGTTTTTCACTGACTTCATTGCTATCAGTGACAATGTATAGCAAATAGTTTCATACCTTCCAACTGTCCCTATTTTTGACCCAAAACTTACTTCACCTCTTTTCTGTCCTAGTGTTCCTCTTTACTAGGAGCTCAACTTTGTTATTGTGTCTGATTGTTTAACAGAGCTCTACCACCACACTACTTATAGTAATGTGTATTTAAACCACAATAAATATGTTTAGCATTAAGTGAAAATAAAATGCAATGTTCTCATTCTAAATTACATTGTATTTCTATAAATTGTTATTAGTAATTCACCTAAACCTTTTCAGAACAGCCCTGCCCCTGGCCACACCCCACCCCTAAAATTAAAGTGTGCCTCTTTGTCCATTTCAAATGTTAAAAGATGTGAGTTATGAATGTCACAATCACAGTCTTTGCTCAGACTCATGGTCAGACAAACACCTCCAGGGTCATCATCTATATTCTTTGTGGTCTAGGAGCCTGTTTTTTCTCAGATAGTGCAGTCCACAAGGACATTTTACAATGGGCCAGTGCAGGCCTGGAGGGCATTGAGAGCCGAGGCCACCAGTCCATTGACAAACCCACATAATACTAGGCTAGTAAATCCCTAGCACAAATCCTACCTGCCGCCTTACTCTTGCTGAACTGTACTGAAAGTTTGACATCCCAACACACCTCCTATTTTAATAATGAATGAGAGTAGTTTGGGGCAGCAACTCTGAACGTACTTGCCATCAATTGTCCCCTGGCTCCCAGGGGCGTAAGCAGGAACCACAGGACACTGCTACAAGAGTCAAAGATGGGTCGATCTCGTCACCCCTTATTGCTCCCTTCTAAACAATAAGCCTGTGTATACTGGCTGTGTGTAATTATGTGGGATGTGTGTACTGACTGTGTGTGATTAATTATGAGAGGGTTGGCAGAGCGTGATTGTTTGTGGGACTTGGCTGGTTGTAATATGTATGTGTGGAGTAGTTTGAGTAATTGGGTGTGAGGGCTAGCTGAATGTGATATATATTTAAAGAGCTCTAAATTAAAAGTCATACATTTGCTAACATGTCAGCATTGCTGGCACAATGCATAAATGGAATTTGACACTTTATTATAATATAAATGTATTAATAATGCATGCGTGCAAATTTATCTATGTATATAATATACGCATTTACCTAGAAATCACATGCATTAAGAGAAATTATTTTTTTTAATTGAACATTTTCATCCTTTTTAGCACATGCATTCTCAATGACCCAAACACACTAATTGGCATAGACAACTCTTTAACCAATGCACACTCTCACTGACAGACAAACACATTCTTACTGACACACACTTTCAGTGATACCAACACACACACTTACTGAAACTCTCTCTCTCACACACACACACACACACACACACACACTTACTGAGTGTGGATTGGAACATCTGCCACAGGTATGTTTGAAATCTTTTAATTTTATGCTTTTGTGCTTTAAATCTCAGGCAATTGTCTAGATTGCATGTCACTCTAAATTGAAATATCTTTTTTTGCATCCCATTAAATATTACATTACCTAGTTGGGCTCTTTCTCTGACACTCCCTTTGCTGACATCTAGCTTCAGGGAAATGATATCACAAATCCCAGCAGCCTTTCACACTCTGCACACATTGCCAGAGAGCAAAGGACAGTCTGCTCCCATATAATTCTTACTGCATTTCATTAGCCAACGCAAGCAAACGCAAGCAAAAGCGTCTCAAGGGGAAATCTCCTAGTTTCTCCTAGTTTCCTGATGGACCGTCTGGCCCTGCCTGGATCTCCTGTGATAAGCAGAACACCTAGGACCTGATCAAACTCTCGACGATTGTGAACCCGCGTTTTCTGCCACTGCTTTCTCTGTATCTATTTTTCTAGCCCTCTCTTAGCACTCTGTTGTATGATCGCATCTTCAGTAATGCTCCTGCTATGATAACTATAGCTTTCTAAATATTGCTGCTTTGATGAAACATGTTAGCTACTTCATTAGCTCTCACAGCATATGGTTAAATAAGCAGGGTACTGACTTGTTATTACCCTTGCAACAGGCAATATAATTAATCTGCAGTGATGATATGGAGCCAAGAAGTAGCTGACATGGTTAACAGAAGGAAGAATCATTACAGGTTTAAAAATAAAACAACTGAAATCAGAACCAGATCAGTCCTCAGAGTCACAGCCCCAGTGCTGCAGTTTGAAGCTTTGCAACTTTTTTCAAAGTTTCTCAGGTCTCAGCTGTAGAGTGACTGACCACTTTAAAGAAGATGGTGAGCATGTGCAGTAGTAGTTATTAAAACAATTAAACTATTAGTGACAGGCAGCACAGTGCTCTGTGTCAGAAATGACCCCCCCCCCTTGTCACCCCAGAGCTTCCTTGACATTATATAAATATCAATTATACATTTGAGTACCTTCTCTTGCTTAATCAGCCCTCAGGCAGTCACAGGGCAATTTGGCGGGGGGAGAAAAAAAATAATATTATACACTTACATTTGGCCAGGAAATGCTCCAGAAAAAGAATCTTAGTGTTTCTAAACTACTGCAAATACTTGTTTTCCCCACATAGAAACTGTAAGTGTGCCGCTCTTAGTGCCCCTGTGGACATGCCTCCACTGGAGTCTTATTAATGTTTTCTTGTTGGCTGCTCTGTCTGCAAATTTGAAATTCACTTTGACTTCTCTTTCTATTCTCACTTTGGTGAATAACCCTGTATATTTCAGCATGTCTTAGCATGCTCCAAGGGCCTAATATACTACAGTTCTGGCAATACTGATATCGCCTTAGGGCTTGCCCTATTGCTTGGCATTTTGATTCACAACAAGGGAGATGATGGCTCACTGACTGCAACTGGGTAAATGTTTTTATGTCTGATTACACAAGGATTACTGACAAAATCTGAAGCTGAGAACAGCAAATGATATAATGAAAAATGAATCCTTATAGATATTGATTTACAGTATCGGAAAAAGTCAGAGAGAAGATACATTCTGGATTTTCTTCTTCTATTTAAAATCAATCCAAGTGTCGCTCCCAGTTTCAACAGAATGTGCATCAAGACTTGCTATACTGTAAGGTCTTGTAGTTGAGTTACTTGACACTCCTTTTAGTGGTGTGCTGGTACTTAATGTCAGTCACTTGCTGTCCACTTCCACTCAGTGTAAGCATGTTTCATTATTTCTAACATCATTTGACTATGTTGGATGAGTTTAACCCAGAATGCATTTATGCTAGATGTACAAAAAAAAACTATACTATTAAAATATTTGGCTGATGCATGGAACATTAAGCTTCCAAAATTGGCCATTTGAGCCTCTTACATGCCTCATTTTTCAATTACCATTTAAAACTTAGGGAGACCTTCAGACTGTATAAATACAAAAAAGTAATGTAATAAAAACATGCACTAAGGATAGAAAATAGCTAATAGTTTGTATCAAGTAGCCAAATGAAAAGCAGGTGCATTTTTTTTTTTTTTGAGTCAAGTTTTTCTGTCCTTTATATCATATTTAAAATTAGTAATGCATTTTATATAATGTGCTTTTAAACACATTTCTCAAGAATAACAACTGTTCATACAGCCATTTTCTCCTAAAGATAACACATCCTTGTTCAGCTTCCCTCCTTTTAATTTTTGTTTTGCTGGTATGCACTGTTCAAATAGCAAATGTGCTGTCCACATACTATCCTAAAGACTTGGAATATGGAGCCTTAAACCCAATATCTATTCTCCTGCAAAGTAAGGACTAAAAGTGGCATGTCTCCATAACTGTGTGTTTCCATGTGTAGAACGTGGTGCCGCCATCTAGTGGTTTAAGTGTGGGTTGGACAAAATCAGTGGTTTGTAGCCTTTTATGTCACAAAGGTTATGTAAATAGAGGGCATAAACCTGTTAATCTATTCTTCAATTGAAAAACTCAAAAAAAAAATCACAGTGACATTAAACACATTTTGGAAGACACCTTAAAGATACTTTTTTTCCTGAGGAAATATCCGTTGCACTAGGCAAACTATATTATCTTCCATGGTCTGGAGCCTGATACATTTAATGTGCCAAGTCCTACTAACTATAATTCACTAAATTAACACTGGGACCCGTTTTGGATCTTGAATTATGGATTAAATACAAAGAGAAACAGAGAGAGAGAGAGAGACAGAGAGAAAGACAGAGACAGAGAGAGAGGCAGAGATACCATACATAACTGAGTTTCATCAATACTAATAGAGTGCCTTATAAGCAAACACAAATTGCAGTTTCACTTTTTACTTTTTCAGCCCACATTTCTATAGATTCCCTTGAAATAGTCTGCATCTTTATACATAGCTTTTCCTGTGGATGTTGGGAGCCTTTTACTACCATAGACTTGTCTTAATGAGTTGATAAAACTCAAAGCAGATTTGCCCAGCTGGGCATTGCCCATTTAAATCCTAAGCCTTAATTATTCCCCATGAATGTTGCTTGCTATTGTTAAGGAGATGTGCCATTGCTAGACTACTGCATTGTCTTAAGAAAAGAGAGCAGAAATTAAAATGTATTTATTCATTTTTTCACAGCTACTGTGTATGTCTTTAAAAAAAATATAAATATATATTTCACTTTTTTCCTCTCACCACATCAGTATGTAATTATGTCAACACTATGCCACTATGTAGCTTCAAAAATAACGTCATACATGCTAAATGTCTTTTATGCTATTTGGTAAAATGTAATCAATTTATGTACATTTTTCTTGAGTGTGATAAAAAATAAAATATGATGATAATGATTGCTAAGTTTATAACATTCAATTTTTTTTTATTTGTTTGTTAGGGTTGTACATACAGATTGTAAAAAAAAATCAGATTATGTGCCCTTTTTTACAATCTACTAGTATGTTGTTCACTCCTCACAGCCTGAAATAGTTAAAACACGAGATTTCTATTAATAATGGCTAATCCCCCAAGCCTATGTCATCAATTTATATAGTTTATCATTATATCTACCAGATAGGTTTAACAGAACAGAGGATTTAGAGACAGTCCACTGAGAAACCATATACTATTGTAGAGAGTTTTTCTTGTATAGGAATCTGTAATGTTGGTTTTGGTGAGGTTGAACACACAGTGCTAGGAGGCGAGTCACTTTCTTTATCAGTTCCAGACACATTTTTGTGTTGCTGTGTTTCGGATTCTGTAAAACTGAAAACTAAGAGGTTAGATTTTATGGCATATTATTAAAAACACTAAGTACACATTACAACTCCCTTAGGTAATTTACCAATTATTCAAGATAACTGCTTTCCACGCATTTTATGCATAATGCAGAGATAACAGACAACACAATCCCAACAAAAAGAAAAACATGTTGGTCAAAATCTAACATGACACAAAATATAGGCAAATCAATGCCTTGTCAACTTATCAATGCTTATTTTCAAAGATTGAGTTGATAAATATTTACCAGATTAGAATTACATTATTAACAAGTAGAGAGGGGTAAATTATGCAAAACATATATAGTAGATAAAACCTGTTTAAATCTAAATAATTGGTATTCGGCCTCTTGAATATAAAATACATTCTGTAAATGTAATGTATTCTCTTGAACATGAGTGATTTTGGCATATGAATATCCACACATGCACAGACTTTTACATAATAATACAAATCTATGATGACATTTATTTTTATTGTTGTGCAAACATACAGGTAAAACCAAAAGGGGACTAGTTTTGATTAATACTGTATTAATGTCTTACCTCCGACTTTATCAACTAGTTACACACTAAAGTGTGAACTGTGAATATACATTTTTTCAGTTTGGGCTTTTTTGTAAAAATTATCTTAGATTTAATTTGATTCCCACCGATTCAGATTTTAGTGAATAACCTGGTAAATCATATGGTTATACAAAAAATATATATTTAATACAGTAAATGAGCTTAAGCAAAGTTCTGTTTAATAAATTGATTATTGATGCATCAAATACAAGTATTTATAGACAATTTAAAGTAATTACAGAGATAGTTTAATCACAAATGAACTATAACAAATAACAAATGAATAATAAAAACATAATTTTATATATATATAATAAATCATAAAAGTAAGGCCAAAAAACATATGCAAAGCAATGCAATGATAATATATGTGTCTTAGTATAAAATATTAAATCAGCACCATAACAAAGGTAAGATAAACACAGACAAAAGTCCCAAAAAATACATCTTCAAAAATGAACACAGCTTCCCTCTGACCCAGTCTCAACAAGATGAGTTGTAAAGCTTGAATGTATGGCAAGGATAACAAACGAAATCTGTTTGTGTCGAAGGACAAAGCACAAAATTCAATGTAAAAAGTAATAAGGTCTAATGAGCGTTCTTTAACCCAACCAGACAGTTTATGTTTAAAAAAAAAGAGAAGAGAACTTCAAAACGTCAAACGTTTTTCTTTTTGAACAATTGTACGCCACCTAACTGCACACAATTCATGACAATTCAAATGTTTAAGTCTTATTGAGTAAACTGCGGTCCTGCTTCTTTTTATGTATTTGATATTAAACTATTATTGCCTTTCATTATTTATTACTTTATTATTCTTTTAGTTTATCAACGCCATTTTACATTTACCAGCAACGCATTCATCACAGAAGTTTTAAACAAAAAGTCAAATGTTGCACAAAAAAAGCTGACACTGTTTTGAAGTGTTGAAGATGTGTGGAGATAATTACACCTTTCAGACATGTTTTGGGGACCAATCTAATTCTGACACTGAAGGACAGTGTTATTTTACCCTTAAAGACTTAGTAAGTTATCAAAAGTCTTTAATTATACCATTAGGTTAATAAAAAAAAGAATGTCCTTTAAATATTCAATTAAACCCTTAATAGTTTGTGTTCACCTCTAGACAGTATTGTATTGCTAGGTCGCTTGGTGACATGGCATTAAGAAGGGAGGTAATTAATATGTTTTGTTTCTCACTATGGTAATTTGATATTTATTTGTTATTTTTATTGTTCTAAATTATAATTCCCTTTTGTCAGAACATAATATCTGATAATTTATGCTTGATTTTCAGTTAATGTTTCTACAGGTCCATAGAGCTGATTCAAGTTAACCTATATGTTGTTAATTATTAGTCAAATATGTGATATATTGCATCTACTTTAAAAAGCCATCTTGTTTGCTTGATGCAGACTTGTATAAGATGGTTTTCAATGAACACTTAACCAGCATTAAGAGTGTTGATTATGGAAAAAAAAGTCCCAATTTAAGATTGAGCTAGTTTGATACCAAATTCCTTTGCTCGTGAAAGTAGACAACACACATCCTTTAGATTTGTGCTTTGCTGCACAATGTCCTTGAATATAGTAGTGTCACAATAGCCAAGCCATGCCAGCAGTAACATTGTTCTGGCACTTTAACGATATAATAACATGTAGGCAGGGCTCGAGTCCTACATGAACGCGTGGGAACAGCGTTCCTGCACTTTTTCCACAGCAGGAATGCTGTTCCCGTTAGTAGTCCTGCAGGACTTGTTTGACCGTGAAGCAAACAAGGCATGTGCCTTGTTAACCCCGGGGTAGGCAGCCATTTAAACTGCAGGCAGTGAGGGAGTGCTGATTTGTGAGCTTTCCCTGGTCAGCTCCCTCACGGGCCACATAGTGATGCCGGGAGCCAAAGCTGAGCAGGGAAAGCTCACAAATCAGCGCTCCCTCGTTACCCGACTGGAACTTAGCTGACCACCCGCATGCCTGCCTTCCTGTCCAAATAGCCCAGCTAGCAGCCACACTGGACTGAGGTAAAAAATCCACCCAGCTCTCCCAAAGGTAGGGAGGCTGGGTGGATTTAAATTATAATAAAATAAATAATCTCTGTGTGTGTGTGTGTCTGTGAGTGAATGTGTGAGTGAATGAGTGTGTGTGTGTCTGTCAGTGTGTATGTCTATCAGTGAGTTATTGAGCCCCCTACCCACTCACAGTCCCCCTACCCTCCATACAACCCTCCTACCCACCTTACAGAACCACTACCCACCTCACTGCCCCCCTGCCCACTCACAGTCACCCTACCCACTCACAGCCCCACTACCCACCTTACAGCCCATGTACCATTTACAGCCCCCCTACCCACCTTATAGCCCCCTACCCACCTCCAGCCCCCTACCCACTCACAGCCCCCTACCAACTCCCAGCCCCCTACCCACTCACAGCCCATCTACCCACCTTACAGTCCCCACCCACCTTACAGAACCGTTGCCCATGTTACAGAACCCTTACCTTCTCACAGCTCCCCTACCCACTCACAGTCCCCCTACCCACTCACGGCCCCCTACCCACCTAACACCTCACAGGCCCCCTACCCACCTCACAGGCCCCTACCCACTCACAATCCCTCTACCTACTCACAGCCCCCCTACCCACCTTACAGAACCCCTACCTACTCACCCCCTATCCTACCTACTCTTTATCACCCACTCACAGTCCCCCTACCCACCCAGAGCCCCCGTACCCACTCACAGTCCCCTTACCCACTCACAGCCCTTCTATCCACCTTACAACCCCCTGCCCACTCACAGTCCCCATACCCACTCACAGCCCCCCTACCCACTCACAGTCCCCGTACCCACTCACAGCCCCCCTACCCACCTTACAGAACCCCTACCTACTCACAACCCTCTATTATTTTGGTAATGGCAGTCTAATACTTCTCCACTAATAGCAAATAATAAATAAAATGCAAGTCTACATCACAACCCATTCAACTAATATATATGTGAGCCTGACTTTGGTTCACCTAAATTTCCACTATCTTATTAACAAAAACATTTTTTAGGATAAAGCAATGTTCACATTCATTAACTGCCACAACACAAATGAAGCCCGTGTTTTTTAATTCTCTCCGTATGGAAATTGACATCAGTTATAACAAAGGTGTGGGTATGGATTAGGTTATTTCAGAGGGATGTATAACCCAGGTTTGAGGGCATGGGCAACCTATTTTAATGAAACCTATTAATGTCCTGTATGAGGGAAATGATTAAACACATACAAATTAACACATATTAAAAATACCCTGCTCATTTAACAGTATTAGCTCATCCTGCAGTACAAGGGAATCGATAAAGCAGTAGATGTACTGGAACTCTTTATCACTGTACAAAGCCACCTCATCTCAGCCATTGGCCTTCAAGCTCCCTACATTGAGACTTACCTATTGGCTCATGTGTTGGGCGACAAATGGGAGTTATTCCTTTAACATTAATAGTGGTTGTAGGTGACCATAAGCCATTATATGTCACAGAACGAACATTACCTATTCCTCTACAACACTTTGCATTGCTCCTCTTACTACAGTCTCATGCACAGTGCTCCAAAACAGCAATCAAGGTGAACAAATAAAATATCCGTAGTTTCTACTGAACATGATACATGCAAGCATTCAAACATGCCCCCTTTTATCGTGAGAAGAAACATGCAATATATCACCTATACACATAGTCATGCACTCACACAGACACATGCATACTTGCACCCTATCACATTAATGTATTCAAATAGTGATGTCCGAATGGTTCGCCAAACGGTTCGCGAACGCGTCGCCACGAACGGTTCGCCACGGACTCATCATTGAGTAAACTTTGACCCTGTACCTCACAGTCAGCAGACACATTCCAGCCAATCAGCAGCAGACCCTCCATCCCAGACCCTCCCACCTCCTGGACAGCTCACTAAGAATGCAGCTTCACAATGAATGTAAAATGGATGCTGTTCAGGAGGTGGTAGGGTCTGGGAGGGAGGGTCTGCTGCTGATTGGCTGGAATGTGTCTGCTGACTGTGAGGTACAGGGTCAAAGTTAACTCAATGATGAGTCCGCGGCGAACAGTTCGCAGTGTAGTGTAATATTTCTTTAAACTGGAGGATGATTGCTCTTTTCAAGCAATATCTCTCAAACTGTTAGTAGTCAGATATGTATACCATTTTAGAGTTGTGTATCTCCAATCATCTTTCCCATTTTCATGTAATTTATTGGAACACCAAAGATGTGATTTTTTAGAGTTTTACACACTTTATCAAGCGTTGGCAGTGGTTGTGTAATATGTTCAGTATTGACAAGAAGTACACTTATTTATATAATATTTGTTAAGGAGATAGTCCCTATTATTTTAACATCAGACAAATAGAACAGATTTTATATGAGTAATACATCTAATTCAAAACTGTTCACAAACTGCTTTTTTTCTTCTAATATCTTAGCACTTCTTAGATAGGAATGAATTATTAGTGCTTTGAATTGTTTAAGAGAGTATCATGATCATGTGAATCACTTCTTTACTTTTGCAAGATCTCACTGCAAAAGCTGCAAACCCAGAGGAATTTCAGAAAATATGGACATTTCAAATGTGAATGTATTATTTTAAATTATTGATTTTATATACTTCCAACCTTCATAGTCTCTTTAAATGTTTTTGAAATCACAGTTTTAAACTTTTCTTTCTCTAAACTCTTGTAATTTCCTTTGTCCAAGACACAGGTCTTCTTGTGAAAATGAAATTAAGTTTTCAAAATTTGTCTTAACAAACTCTTAAATAAAACAAATAATTATTTCTTAGTGGTCCTTTCAGAAACAGATTGTACAGAGAGCATGAGAGGTTTTTATGTTTAAGTAGTTAATGTGTTAGGAAAATAGAAATATTAAATAATCTACTACTCCAATGACTTTATAAATCCAGAAATGTCATTAGATTTGATGAATATTCCAATGCTCTGTTGGACAAAGGAACAAATAACAATGATGTAAAGGCCTTAATGTGAATGCAGCAATACACATCAAGCAATACTGTGCTTTCCAAGCAACCCTTTAGAGTTTGATTGTAAAGTAGGCCTGCTATAGGGTAGATAGCATACCACAAGATTTAGAACAATGTATGGAATATATTGACCATAACAATAACAATAAGTGAAAGCCAGATTAATGCTTTATTTTGATTTAAAAAAAAACACCTCCTTCCAGTACCTAGAGTATATTGCAACTCACTTCACTGACAAGAGCTCTACAATCAGGGAACAAATATTTAATCTTTCTTCTTCCCCTTACAATACTTCCCCTAACCTCACTCCATCTGCTGTTCTATGTTCAATTGTACTCACTACAGAGGAAGAGGCTTCTGCTCTGCTCCATTCCTCCCGCCCCACCACCTGCTCCTTAGATCCAATTCCCTTGCATCTCATCCGTACTCTATCTTTTTCTCTTTCTCTACCTCTCACTAAAATGCTCAATCTCAATCTCTCTCTCTCTCCTCTGGCATATATCCATTGCCCTTCAAACATGCAACTGTAAGCCCAATTCTAAAGAAGCCCAACCTTGACCCTAACTCTCCATCCAACTACCGTCCTATCTCGCTACTGCCTTTTGCATCCAAGATCCTTGAAAAAGTTTTGTATGCGAGATTGACAGACTCCCTCGAGTCCAACTCTCTGCTATAACCACTTGAGTCTGGTTTCCATGCTAAGCTGGCATCGGCACTGACCAAAGTATCCAATGATCTACTCGCTGCAAAATCTCATGGTCACTATTCTATCCTAATTCTTCTTGACCCTTCTGCTGCTTTTGACACTGTTGATCATCAACAGCTTCTTCTCATCCTTTGCAATATCGGTCTGTGACAGACCCATCTGTATGAACTAAGATTGCTGTGTTCGTCTGTTTGCTTGTTTCACGAACTCACCCATTCGTATATGCCTGGATTTAAGTGAATTGACCTTTTTACTGAACAAAACTGTCGAATGGACAGCCACCCAGAAGAGAAGTGTGCTGCTGGTTAACCTACTGATCCCAATTAGAACGTTGTGGTTAACCACAGACACTTCTCAATGAAAACCGAATACAGGGTGGTCGTCGTTTGTATGTCGACCACGAGGCGGCGGCCATTTTAAACCATGCGAAAGACCAGCGGTGTTCGGTACTAAATTCATGGAACTGAAAACGGACACTTTTTCAACCGAACACCGCTGATGCCGCCAACCTCCCTTCTCCAATCGACAAAAGTATACGAACACCAGCAGTTCGGGAAATGTAAAGGCTCGAATGGACTTACCCCAGATAGCCTTCCCATGGAGTCAATCGCATACCGAAGAACTGTAATAGACTTTGACTCCATGGCGATTGAACTATGCGTATGGGATCTGAGCGCTATTCGCCAATAATATGAACTCAGATCCAGGCTATCTGGGGATGTGTTACACGAATGAGAAACGTTCGGCAGTTATAAAGTTATGTATTTTTATGTGTCTTGTGACTTGTATTTAAAATGGCGATTTGCCTCTGCTCGGGGAGATAATTGAATTACTTCTCAATTATCTCCCGGGCAGAGGGGAGGAAAGTGTGATGTATGCTGGGAATATTATGTGCCTGTATGTCTGGAATGTCCCCATGTCCATCTGCTATTCCAGTCTCCCATTTGGTCCCCTAGGGGAGTGTCCACCAAGTGGGAGACCTGCATAAATACGGGCAGGTAGCCCACAGTAAACTCAGTTCGTGTTTTACCCTCAATGCGGAGCTTGGTCTTGTTATTGGGGGGATTTTATTACCGCGAATAGAGACTGCTATTTGGAATTATTTGCCGCTTGGAAGATATTGGCGTTCGGCTGATATTGGCAGTTCGTGAGCTTGCGGCGGAGGTTGGAGTGTTCCCTGGCTGGCGGTTCGCATGGTTGTATTGCATACGCTTACAGACAACATTATTGCGAACGGGGAGCATTCACTAAACGGCGGTTTGTACATTTCATGCTGAAGGTACCGTAACACGGTCTACAAGATATTGCTCTCTCCTGGTGCTCCTCCTACCTCTCCCAGCGCTCTTTCAGTGTTTCTTTCTCTGGCTCTGCTTCTTTTACCCAACACCTCTCTGTTGGTGTCCCCTTCTGTTTTTCATCTATACCTCCTCCCTTGGTAAACTCAGTGGCTCCTTTGGCTTCCAATATCATTTCTATGAGGATGACATGCAAATCAATCTGTCCTCTCCAGATCTCTCCCCATCCCTCTTGACTAGTATCTCTGACTGCCTCTCTGCTATTTTTAACTGACTGCCCACTTCTTTAAATTCAACTTGCTCAAAACTGAAATTCTGGTCTTTCCTCCCTCCTACTCCTGTATCTGTCTCCCTCCAACTCAATGGTGCTACCATCAGCTCCACCACGCAGGCTCTCTGCCTAGGTGTTCTCTTTGACTCCGACCTCTCCTTTATGCCTCATGTACAGTCTATCACCAAATCCTGATGCTTCCATCTCAAAAACATTGCGTGACCCTACTTAACGCCAGATGTGACTTAGGTGCTGGCCCATTCCACTGTCCTTTCTCGCCTTGACTACTGTAATCCACTTCTCAGTGGTCTTACGTGCTCCCAACTTGCGCCGTTACAGTCCATAATGAATGCGGTGGCGAGGCTCATCTTCCTGTCTGCCCGCACCTCTCACGCCTCACCCTACTGCCAGTCCCTACATTGGTATCCTGTAAGATATAGGGTTCAATTTAAAATTCTGGTCCTTGCTTGAAAATCTCTACATAATGCTGCTCCCACCTATCTATCCTCCCTAATACACAAGTATGTCCAATCTAGGCCCATTACGCTCTGCTGGAGAATTACGTCTATCTTCTGTTCGTACTCCCACCTCTGATGCTTTCCTTCAAGACTTCTCAAGGGCTGCACTGTTCCTGTGGAACTCACTTCCCTCCTCCGTTAGATCTACAGCTTCAGCGGTAAGAGTTACCCTATCCTTAGGTGAGTAGCCAAAGCAAGAGGTATCTGTGTATCCATTAGACTTGTGCATTTGGTTTCTCCCATAATGTGATTTATCAGAATTTTTGGAAATTCAGATGTGCATCTAAAATCCTTAACTCCAAAACACTGTAAGGAAAAATCATGAAACAAGCAAAATGGACAATGCACAACTGTTTGATTCATGATTCGGAGTAACATCTGTAGTACCATTGTGCCACTGTGGTGATTAATAAGAAGAATGATGATTGGTGGTTAAGGGACAGCCATTAAATGTTGATTTTGTTCACAGATCAAGTGATAACGGCCCAATATAGGCAGAAAAAAAAGGAGATGTAAAAAAAATGTGTATGTGTGTAAAATATATAAAATTTGTTTAATACATGTAAAATGTAGAAATATATATTTTTAGGGCTCATTTTCCCCTCTCTTGACCACTGTTTCTCACTTGATCTATGAATCAAATTGCCCAAATACTGCAAAATGTATACATAATATTTATATTTTGAAGTACCCTGTTTGGCCAATTTTCCCCAAACAATCAAATTGACCAAATTTGTATGAACCAAAATGCCACATGAACAAATCCCAAATCACCCAAAACAAAATTTTGCACAGATAGGTTTAGACAAACAAAAAATGTTCACTGTGAACAAGCCTAGTATACATAGCTGGTTGCATTTTTAGATGGTGAAAGATATAAAGAAAAATGATAAATTCTTACCATTCATAAGAACTATTACAAATTAAGAATCATAATAAATCCTTACACATGCAAATATCATGCACCCACGCACCAGAATTAATGCAAACATGCTCCCACTCTCACAAATATATGCTCATGCTCCCTCGGGTACATGCAAACATACAGAAACCTATAAACAGGTAAGTGACCACATTTCAATCCATATTCAGAACCTCCCAAATTTCAATATGCAGTAAGGGGTTAATGTGTGACAAAAATAGAAATATAGGAACACATTGTTTTGTAATGTGAACTCATCAGTACTAATCAAGCAATATAGTGATTTACATTTAACTATTTAGAACATTAGGTATCAAGTGGGCATGACATATTGTAGATAATCAGAATGCAAGTGTGCCAAGTAAAAATGAAAGTTATACTAGTTAAAAAAATAAAAATAAACTCTTTTTCAAATGAATCTACTGGCTTTTGTCTTTTGGTTTCAAACCAAGACAGTTGAAGGAAAAGAGTTTTAATTAGCACAAACACCTTTCTGATAAAAAAATAAATGACCTTTGAGAATATGTAGCAAAAAAACATGAATAGTGATATTTTGTTTCGTTTTAGCCTGCTGTACATGCTGATTCTCTTTACAAGATTTGAAACCGGGGCTCAAAACAAAAATGCATGAATACTGAGTTAAGTTTCATGTGCCAAGTCCACGAGAATTGCAGGTGAGATTAAATTGGGAGTTACATTAGTTAACAATGATCATCTTTTCGTCCAAGAATTTATACAGTTAGGATTTGATCAATTAACCACTTGGCTTCTATGTCCACTTATAATATCTTCCATTTTCCAATGAGCCCCTTTTAAAACAAGATAAAAGAATAACCTTCTTTTAGAGGAATTAAAGAAACTGGTTCAGAGGACCAATTAAAAATGGTACAGAATATTATAATGTGCAACATTCGATAAAATATTGTTTCAGAAAGTCAAAGAAAGACACATTATAATGGCGGATAAAAATGAGTCAGCTCATCTTCCATGGCCATTCTACTATCTGCCTTACAAGATCAGGGTTATTAAATCCTTTGGATCATTAGATGAGCTTGTCCGTTTAAATCAATTTTTAATCCTTGTATTTTATTCCATCCTATCAGTTCTCATGCCATTGTTACCAATATACACAAACCTGTTGCACATAATCTGATTCTTACATCTATACTGTCTGCAACAAATATCCAAATCCTTCATATATCAAATGCCCATGGAGCAGTGTATATTATATGATTTCTCAATCACAAATCGACTAGTTATGCTTGAAAAAACAAATCAGATTAAATATTCATAAAACATTTCATGACCATGAAAAAAGCAAAATGTTACACAGAAAGTAAACACACAATCAAACTAACAATTGCAATGCAACATCAATGAATGTTCTGTGTATGATCTGTGACTTTGGATTAAATATTGATTTCATTATATACAATAGATTAAAATAAATTGGGTACTTGTTCATGCTTGTTTTACATATAATCTGCACACATAGCTGATTATTATTTTTTTGTTTGTTTTTTGCAATAATTCAAAAGCAAATTTGTCACCAAGTTTTAGCTACGTCCCTAGAGGCATAGCAAAGCCTTTGTACATTTTCTTTTAATTCTAATGTCATGTTAGGCTCATGTGACATATCTAAACCTTATGTCAAGACAAGTCCTTTGCCATACATCATCTTTAGATTGCTCAAGTGGAATGTCTTTCTAGGGTTGAAGTGTTAAGCACATGTGATTCTTAACATTTAATAAGTTAAAAGGAAATTGAAAGAGACACTGCCCTGTCATACATCACTAAAAAATTGCTGCTACAAAATACATATGAAAAATCATTGGTACAGCCTCCAACTCACATGACCTGAAAATTTTAGATAAAAAAGATATGCCCTTGACTGAGAATGTATAATGGAATTAGACTGCCATGTTTAGCAAAGAAATCCATTGTTTATAGATATTGACCTTGCAATTTGTATAGCTGATCAGTTAGCTCTGCTGGTTAATGCACCAACTTTAGAAGCGGTTTGATCATCGAGGCTCTTTATTTAGTCTTAGTCAATGTACTCTTTCGTCGTCCTGATTTTGACAAAATAAGTACCATTGAGTTGGGTAATAGACAGCTATTTATCAGCTGTTGGCATGCTGAAAAATGAAAATTTGGGGTAATTATAAAAATATCACATTAAAAAAAAGTAGGTAGATCATTATCATTTTTATTATTAGATTCAACAAATGATAAAATGCTGTCATCAATACTTTTGTTTAGTATGTTTTTATAAACTCCATTCATCCTAACCTAGGAAAATGTATTTCTACTTAAAGTAACACTCTCTCTCAGTAAAAATATTTTATAAAATTTGACTCCTAACCTGTTACTACACACACTATTTAACTATGTAAAAATTAAATGCTATGACCGGTTTGATTCATTTTAGATAAAAAAAATAATTGCATACAATAAAGTAAAAAGAGTACAAAATGCTAGCCATTTAAAAATGTAGTCTATTAACGGTTAAAAGAGCTTCATGACATATTACTGAAGCTGTTCTTATTCCAGTATATGTGTTAGGCTTATAAAATGGCTTGTATACACTATCAGCTTAAAAAGAGAATATTTACTCATTGTTTAACACAATGTAGCATATTTAATTATTATTAAAATAAATATATAATCTCATTTAATTTTTCTTCTCCTACAGTATAAAATCTGTTCAATGCAAGTTGTGTCTTTTTACATTTTAGGATTTAATACAATACACCTGCATTGTTCTCAACTATTTTAGCTATTCACAAACACACACGTAGAAACATGCAATAGTGAAAACCACAGCTTTCATATCATCACTGATATTTCACCTTTAGTTGTAGAATAGTGAATATGTAAAATCACTAATCTAAACACTCGTAAATCACAGCATTTGGTTTGTAGCCTCTGTCTAAAAACAAATACAGTTGCTATGGAGCCAACGTGAACAAGACTAAAATTAGTGAAAAAATTCTCTTTTTAGTTAAGATCTTTCTACAAAGCACTTTCTAATTGGGTGATAATTTCAAGTGTTTATAATATGTTTTGTACATTGTCCTGTTAATTATTTGGCAATTTCTGTTTAGTATACGTAGATTTGACAGAAATCTTGGGTGAAAAATGTATCAAGGGTTTACATTATTTTTCATGCATTAACATGTTCATTATTTGGCAATTGATGTTCTGTGCAAATACATTTGGCAGAAATCTTGGGTGACAAATGTAGCATAATTTAAATAATCCAAATATACAGGTGCAAAAAGAATACCTCTTAGTTAACATGTTTCTTTGTCATCCATATTTCATAATATTAAGGCAGAACACTGAAGAGGTGTATAATATGAAGGGTGTTTTTTCCTCAAAATAAATCAGAATTTGCTCCTTTAAAAAAATATATATTCAAGTTTTTACAGCATTTGGGCCCCACTTGCAAATATCTAATAATACAGTAGTTAGCACAGGGTTAATCAACTATTTTTTTTAGACAATGTTATTTGTCTAATAATTCTAACACTGGTATAATGTAAAAGCAGTGAAGAAAAAAAAATCCACAATATGTTGAAAAGTTAATTTGAAATAGTAGATCTCCAATTAGGCTAAGCAATAAGCACAAAGTGACATTTTGAGGATTTTTTATCCAAGCCTAAAACTATGGATACACAAATACAGCAACACTACTATTTTTTAATGAATGAACAAAGGGACATTAGGAATAATAGGGTTAAACCAACTATGAGATGTATTCACTAAACAGTGATACCTTCAAAACCCAGTCCACTAAATGTAAGCTAGACAAGAAGCCATAGATTTTACTGAATTTGATACTTCTCACAACCCAACTGATGATATTCTTTTTTTAATTCACTGTTTAGTTAATAATCCATAATGATCATTCCTTGCAAGTATAAAAGTCATTATATTAAAATTTAGAGGCTACTAGTTACATAGAGACAGCTATAGACATAATCATAATTGTCAGCTGCTTACCTTCCTGTGTCATTTTACCACTCCCAGGATTCAAATCTGGCTGAGGGTGTTGGCACTTGTAGTTTAACAACAGCTAGAGGGCCTCAGTATTCCAACATTGATTCTCTATTAATGCTCTGTGTGCTACAGTTTATCATAGCATAGGATCAGTTACATACAGTATAGATAAATCACACCACAAACTGCCTGCTTCAGCCTAATAAACGTGCAAAAAAAAAAAAAAAATCTTCTAAACCCTAAAATCGGCACCGGAACAGTTAAATCAGCCTAATTGTAACTTCTATTGAGTCTCGAATTTAAAGATCAGAGCTGATCAGTTACATACAGTATGGGTAAATCACACCACAAACAGCCTGCTTCAGCCTAATACACGTGCAATCTCATTAAAAAAAAAATAATAAAATCTTCCAAATCCTAAAACCGGCACCTGAACAGTTAAATCAGCCTGATTGTAACTTGTATTGAGTCTCGCGTCTAAATGCTCAAGTCACACATTGTAAGAAACAAAATACTCAATAGAAAAAAATGTCTACAGTTTCTTTTTATTTATGAAGTGTAAACAAAGCTGACTCCATTGTTCTTTTATACACAATGTGATTAAAATTGTATGTGTGTGCTTGTGACATGTGTACAGTATTTGTGTTTGACGTGTCTCTGTACAGTATTGTGTACACAGTATATGCATGTGCCTGTGTACAGTATACTTATGTGACTGTATGCATGTGTCAGTGCGAAGTATGTGTGTGTGTGGGGGGGGGGGTGTACAGGGTGTGTACAGGGTCTGTATGCAGCTATTGTGTACAATGAACACGAGTAAACGTGTGTGTTATAGAAAATGTACATACTGGTATACAGTGTGTTTGTGATGTGTATTTTACAAATAGACATAAAATACTATAAATATTGGAAAAAGGGAACAAAAGAACACTAGGTATTTTTTTTTAAACAATATTTTTTTTGCCTTTAAAAAGTGTATATGTTAACATCTGTATATGTGTGTGTGTGTGTGTGGATACAGATGTCGATAGATATATACTGCTAGGTATATATAATATATATCTAATAGAGATGTATATAGATATAAAAGGGAGACAATGAATGTGACATCTGACGGTAAGAGAAACACAAAACAAACACAGAAATCGGATGTATCCATTTATAGAAACAACACAGAACACTATGGCTTATTAATACTTAGATGGTTTAAGCGTCCATTCCAGCCCATGGCTGGGCTTTGCGATCAGCTGCTCGGATAGGAGAGAACAAGGTTTAGAGATGGGGAGCCGTCCGAATGTGACTCTCTGAGTTCGCTTTATTATGAGATCAAGGGGGGGGAAAAAAAAAGGGGGAGAAGAAAAAAAAAATACAATGTGTCATGATGTTTCCATAAAGCTGCTGAAGGCATTAAAAATATGGAGATATAAAAAAACAAAACAAAACAAAAAAAACAATAATGATAACAAAGAAAAAAAAAATGATTCCATGAAGCTGCTGAAAGAAAAGAATAATAATGGTAACAAAATAAAAATGATACGGGTCATGATGTTTGCATGACGCCTAGTGAAAATATGGAGAGAAAAAAAAAATATTAATAATGGTGATTAAAAATAAATAAATAAATAAAGGTGAATTCTTCCTGCAAAATATAGGGTTGGCTAGCCCTCTGTTCACTGGGCACAATTGAGATTGACTAAGCAGCCAAGAGCCATGCGCCTGCTTTTTTTATAGGCAGGGGATGCTTGGAAGGTACCACTGAGCCAGGGCAGGCAGGCTCCCTCCGCTAACGTGGCTCTATAGATCAACCCCACACCCACTCCCCCAAGTCTGCCGGGGACTTGAGCTGGCCCAGCCTGTTTAAACAGAAAGGACACAGATCCTGTCTGTTCAATGTATAAAAAAAAAAGCAGTGCAGACCAGGGAGAGAGAGGGGGAGAGAGAGTGTGTGTATGTGTGCGAGAGAGAGAGCGAGGGGGAGAAGCACCGTGCTCCAGGAAGACGAGGCAACACCAGGATCCTCTATGTATATAAAGATGGCCACGTTAGCTAACGGACAGCCAGACAATACCAGCCTCAATCACAGCAACCCTAACACCAACGGGCACATGAACGGATTAAATCACAGTCCCGGGAGCACTTCCACCATCCCCATGAAGGATCATGATGCTATCAAGCTCTTCATTGGGCAGATCCCCCGCAATCTGGACGAGAAGGACCTCAAACCCCTGTTCGAGGAGTTCGGCAAGATCTACGAGCTCACAGTGCTGAAGGACAGGTTTACTGGCATGCACAAAGGTCAGCACCCATCTCCTTAACTTTAGCAAGGCACATCTGGGGAGTGGGAACCGGGTTTTAGCACTTGGAGCTTGGTACTGGGTGGCGGTGATGACTGCTGGGGACGGCGGAGGGAGCCGTCCCCAGCCTTGGTAATGAGCGGAATCTCCGGCTGCTCTTTAACTTTAGCCAAGGCTCTACTGGGGCAATGGGACTGAGCGGTCAGCACTGGGCACGGCACAGGGACAGAATCAGGAACTGTCCACAGACCTGGTGCTGAACTAGGGCTTGCACCTCCTTAACTTTAGCGAGGCGCAGCTGGGGAGGGGAGCTGGACCGTATCACTTGCAGCATGGTACGTTGTGGGGCTGAATGTTAGGGAGCTGTCCACAGCCCTGGTGCTGAACCCGTCTCTCCAGCGTCTATTTAACTTTAAATTGGGGAGTGAGATTAGGCATAAAATCGGGAATGCGAGGCGGGAGATGTCCACAGCCCTGGTGCTGAACGGAGTCTCCAGCAGCTCTTTAAGTTTAGTACATCACAGCTAGGGTATTAGCGCTGGGGGCAAGGTACGGGCTGCTGATAATGTGATGGGGATAGAACGCAGAGGCTGCCTCAGGATTCTAATCTTTAACTTTATAAAGACACATCATGGGAGGGTAGGTGGCTTTTGAAATAGGAGCCATATAGAGACTGGTGATTCTTACAAGGAAGGGGAGTGGGTGCCTGATAGCAGCCTGATGCTGCACTGGCTGCCTCTCCTGCACTTTATTTAGCCAGTCACATGTACGGAGTGTGGCTTAGGTTTAGTGCTTGCATTTAGGCACAGGGCAGCGAGGCTTACTATCAGCTGGAGCTATTTGCTGCCCCTGGGCTCAAACATCTTCCATCACTTTAACTTTAGGAAGATTCATCTCAGGGAGTGTGTGTGTGGCGGCGTGGGGGTGCATTATCACTTAGAGCTAAATAAATATAGACATGATTGCTCTGAATGGGTAAAATATCGGACTAGAGAGCTGGTTCTGAAAACTGTGTCTTAACCTCATCTTTAAACTTAGCAAAAAATGCCGGGAAAGGTGTAGTTAGTCATAGCTACCAGAGCTACAGTGTGTGGGTGTCAGTGATTCTTTTCTTGGCATGAGTATGGATCTACCCCAGCAGATGAACTAAACTGATTATGTAGTAGCCTCCAAGCTAAGAAAGAGACACCTGAGAAGGAGGGGGTAATATAACATGACTATATGTAAAATAAAGTGATTTTTATTTAGGAAATGTCCAGGGGCTCTTTAAGGCCTTCATGCTGAAAAACTGCAAATCAGCACTTTTTTTTTAATATATAGCAATGCATATTCAGTAAGGAGATTTTGGAAATAAGGATAAGGCACTGGTTGTATTTTATGGCAGGGGATGAGCTGGCCACAGATTTGGTGCTGATCTGCCTGTCCTGGCAACTTTGTGACTATACTTCTGAGAGAGGGTGTCAGGCAGAAGCAGGCAGGGAGCTGTCCAGCGTTCTAGTGTTGAATCGTCTGCTTTTAATCTCATTAACTTTGTAACTGCACATCTGGGATATGCAGAGGGAAATATAACGAGTATGACTGAGCCTTAGAAAGATGGGTGAAACACACCTCTGGGGAAAAATTAGAAACAGAGACACGCTTGCATCAAAGACAGTGCATTAAATGATAATGGAGGGATCTGTTTGCAGTGATAAAGGTTTAACTATATATATATATATATATATATATATATATATATATATATTTATTTAATTTTTTTACATTATTACATCTATGAGAAGAACAATAGTCTATGTAAAATATCCATGGACTCTACCAGCGACAGGACATGGTGTATGACACAGGATATTGAGACAATGGACTCCCTCCTGTTTCATGAGTGAATATAATAGTGAATAGTGAATATAATGTATGTCAAGTTTTGTAGCCGTGTGTGAAACAGAGTAAAAAATAGAAAGACAGATTGGTAAAGAAGAGATGACCAAAGGTACAAAAATGCATATGAGGTGGCAAAGCTAAATCAATTATAAAATAGTTCACATTAGACAACTAGCACAGAAGTTGAAAAGGTAGAATAAAAAAACAAAACATTAGAATACATATTAATGAGAGCAGCCGAAATAGCAATGGGACATGTATGTCCCAGTGCTACCCTGATAGTGAAGTTCACCCCTTAACCCTTACACGACTCGAGCTCACTAGACTAAACAACATTACCCCCCTATACTAAACTAAGACTAAGCATGAATGCCTATCCTGCATTTAGATTTACATTTACATCAGCACTAACTCTAACCTAAATATATCCTATCAAATTTTAATTGGCACAACGGCAAATGGTATATTATGGAAAATAATGTCATCTCAGGGTTTCTCAACCTTCCGTCTCTTGGTTTATTATGATGTCTCCAAAACCCCTTGGCATTATTTTCTCATAATGTATGGTTCACCATTATACCTTTTGTATATTTAAATTCGCATACCTACTCCCTATTCTTTTGATCATATGTGCTACTGTTCTTAATGCTTGATCAAAATAATTCACATACTTTCCAAATGTCTACAATACATATGTATATCTCAAACATCATCTCATTACAGATACAACTTATGTGACACTTGCGATAGCAGTGCTAGATTTAGCATGAGATGATAGAAATGAGCACAGTAAGAGGATTGCTTTTCTGCTAGGGTTATGTCTTGTGATATTGGAGCCCAGTTTACCCTGTGGTTAAGCTCCTCAGAAGGCTCAGCTATAACTGAAACAAAGCTTTCATTCTAGTATAGTACTTTATCCGAAGGCTTCGCCTTGATTGAGAACAGTCCAAAGTTGTATTACTCATACTGGGGTGTCCCTGATTTATTAGCTAATCCTGATAAAAATGTGCCTTTGGCAAGTAGAAAAAATTACTTGCTTGCCCCTAGTGATTAATTGTTGTAAGGTCTAAGCATGACATGCCAGTGAAGAATGAGAATTGTATTTAGCTCCAAGTATTATTTTGACCAACTCGACACAGTTAAAAGAAATATCAACTCAATGCTTTTTTTTTTGCGATATAGTCGAAAAGCTGTTAAAAAAAGGTCTCTTCCACCTTATTATGTTTCATATTTCTACTAAGTGACTTTTATTATCTATCATTAACCCTTCTGTTGACAGACGACTTAGTAGTACATTTGCAGTACATTTCATTGCAGTCTTGCTTGCCTTGACAGCAAAATACCGAAACAAAAAGTATCAGGCTATATATTTAATATTCGTCAATATTGAATAATAGCCTACTAATTGACTGAAGATATATTCTTGCAGAGGCATTACGGAAACAGCACATTCTCCAATCCTGCCAATGAACACCTTTCACAAAGTACATTAAAGAGGTTAGGGAGTTGGTTTTATTTATTGTCTATGGTTATAGAGGGAGCTTTAAAAAGGGATTAACCCACACTACTGTATAAGGAAACAGACAGATAATAAATAGCTAATAGATTTTTTTTTCAAGAAGTCTATGTATCATCACAAGTTCATATTATTGAAAAAAAAAAAGCATTACGGTATACAGCTTAAGTCATATTAACAAGTGATTTAGTGTTGTTAAAAAAGAAACTTTAACATGCTAAAAAAATGAGTAATTATTACCTACATACAATTTTGCAAAAATATCAATGAAACCATCATGATGAAGTTTTGCACAATATACCAACATTTGTGTATACATTTGTGACAATAACACATTAATGTTGCTTAGTAACCTGATCATTTAAAAAAAAATATATATATTTGTTAAGAATAAGTAGGATAAAATACCTCAGAAATGAAACAGTGGAGGTTACTTTAATTTAAACATTCTTCCAATAATCTGTTGCTAATAGTTTCTGGGTGCTTAGTACTAATTTTTTTGTTTTAGATGAGAAGTGACCCACCCACAGATGCAGTTAACTAATCAGAGTCGATCCTCTGGGCATTTCATTCATAAGTTCGTCCCTTTGTGATAGCCTTGTTAGCTTGGAAACTGACTTTTGTCTGACATAAATATTACAACTCTCTTGATAGTCATATCACAATGCATTATCCTTAAAGTTATTCAAAAGGCCATCTAAAGTGGTATTT